TATCTGGATGTCGAAAGTTAGCGCAGCTTTCTGCATGATCTTAAATGTTCATTTAGACCCAGTGTTTTATGTTTTCTAGGAGGTTCTTTGGAATGACTCCAGTGGTAGAAAGAATAATAGGTATCATTTGGGTACTTTCCATTCTCCATTGTCTCCTTATTTGTATTTCCAAATCTCTGTACTTGGCGATCTTTTCGTTGTACGCAACACGCAGATTATTGTTCTTAGGTATCGCCACATCGATTAAAGTTGTTTGTCTTGTTAGTTTATTAACTAGCACGAGATCTGGTCTATTATGTACTATAGTTTGGCATGTGAGCACAGTGCGATCCCAGTATAGCTTGTAGTTGTCAATCTCAAGCATACTCTTAGGAACCTATTGATATTATGCGAGATGGTTTGTTGTAGAAGTCCCAGTTTAAAAGCTCTCTCTTGATAAAGGATTTCCCTACTGAGTCATGCCGTTCCTTATATTCAGTTGCAGTAAATGCCTGGCAGCCTCCGGTAAGATGTTGAATAGTTTTTTGGGCTTGACATCCATATCTGTATTGTCGTTTTGTACCTGGGGGTCTTTGACGATATATCTCAGGTAATTTTTGGTTGCTATAACCTAATCCTGAATGGCGAATAATGAACCTTCTGTTTCAGGGAACACCTTTTCTGATGTCAGCCAATAGTTCGACGCTATATTGTCGACATAGTCTTGACTGACTTCATTCGTATGTCGCCCGTGCAGAGGTTTACCCATCCAGATGCGCATTTTTTCGTTCTTAGTAACATGGTTTATGCACATTTCTTGTTTCCTTAGTTTGATTGGTGTATCGGCGGATCGGTGTTATTATAATTATTATTATATTTTAATAATAGGGCGGCCTAGGAAGAATTAACTATATCCGTCTTTGATACTAATTGTGAGTTCGATCTGCGCTTTGATTTCTCCTTGAGCTATCTAAGCTCTAAAAGAAGGTGATTCCATAATAATATTACCAATCCACAAGGGCAATACAACTGTAATTACAGACAAAAGTAAATATCAGGAGAAAATTCAAGAATTTGTCACAAATATAACACGAAACTAAAAAATCACTTAACCAAATCACTGGAAAACAAAAGATATAATCACTGCACAAATTTAAGAAACTAGTAACTTTGCCTATCGCATTCGACGGTAAATCCAATCAATTGTCATCTACAGTCAGTCATTATATTTTTAAAATAATATACTTATAACTTTTTGCATATAATCCAAGTAAATATTATAAAGTATGATCTGATGTAATACCAAATATTTACCTTGTGCTTTATATAAAGCAAATATGTCTATTCTTCACCCTAGTGTCAAGTGATATGTAGTATGTCGCTACACGTTCATTAATAAAGAAAACGATGTGTAGTGCCCTTTTTGATAGTCCTTTTGTTTGTTTTTTCTATCTGAATGTATTTGTTATATCCTCCCTTTTATTTGCTATGTTGCATGTTAGGATTCGATCAGTTGTTTATTTTGTACTCAACCTGAGGCATTCGGTCAAGTCAATCAAAATCAAAATTTGTCTTATGGTAAATCTATTTTGATGCATAGTGTCCTATAATATCTTGGATGTCGTTGTACGTTCATCATTAATATTTATACTGTGTAGTGCCCTTTTAGTAGTTGCCTTGTTTGTTTTTCCTATCTTATATTCGTTATATCCGCCCCTTTCTTTTGATTTGCATATGTTAGGATTCGATCAGTTATTTATTTTGCATACAATCAGAGGCTTTCTTTAAGTCAATAAATTAAAATTTGTCCTGTAGTAAATCTATTTTTATCTATAGTGCTCTATGATATCTCGTATGTCGCTATACGCTCATTATTCATGAAGATACTGTGTAGTACCCTTTTGGTAGTCACCTTGTTTGTTTTTTCTTACTTAATGTATTCGTTATTTCCTCCCCTTTTATTTGCTATATCGCATGTTAGGCTACCCGCCAACCTACCAAAGAAGAACACTAACACCTTACTATAGCAGAATAGGACACCTATACTGATTCCAAAAATTCACACAGAGAATATACCAATAGAATAGACCAATTTGCAGCAGACTATCCTAGACAGTTCCTCCTAGATATAATATAGTCTTGAACACACAACACAACATCTTTTATCAAAAACTCAAAGCAATTTTTGCAAAAACTAGCAGCAATAAATTGCAATTCCAACAATATGCTAGTCAGTTTTGATATCACCAGTCTTTTTACTAATGTACGATTGGAGAAAAATTTAAAAATAATAAGCGACAAATAATGGAGGGATGGTAGATTGACAACGCAATCAAAATTGAAAGTATCAGATAACATGAAGCTACTAATATTTTGCACTGGAAATACTTATTTTTTACTAAACAATAATTTCTATAAACAAAAATTAGGCTAAAACAACAATAGACAACGCTTTAAACCAAGCAAGGCGCACAAAGAAGAAGAATGGCCTTATCTTTATCTTCATTATTAGCAGATGTATTTATGGAGGATTTCGAACTAAACATTGTACACAAATAAGACAAACAAGCTACAATATGGTGGAGATATGTAGATAATGTGTAATCCATTTGGCCACATGCACCAGAAGCAATGGATAAATTTCTGATGGACATCAACAATAAAAAAGAAATAATTAAATTCACCATGGAATAAGAAAACAACAATTCACTTCCATTTCTGGAAGTGTTATTAATAAAAGAAAACACATTATATGCACCCAAAGCTTACAAAAAACTAACCCACACAAACAGATATTTAAATTACCACTCAAACCACAACGTAAACACAAAAAAAATAATTATCAAATCATTACGTGATAGAGCACGAAACACCTGCTAAAACGAAAAAGCATTCGAGGAAAAAAAATCCTGTTAGCCAAGGTTTTGGCAAAAAAGTTGACTATCCGTTGCTATCTATAAGCAATGAGGTCTTAGCCTCCTCAGGATTTCTCTCCCAATCTATCGCCTTTCTCCGCTAAGCACTTATTCCCATATTTTTCATGTCCTCATCGATGTTATCAAGGAACCTTTTTCTGGGTCCCTAACTTCTTCTTTGACAAGTGAGTCTACCAACGAGCGTTTTTCTAGGTGCGTCATTTTGTTTCATCCGAATTACATGCCATTTCCACCTCAGACGTCCTATCTCAATATGTTTTACAATATTTGGTTCCTGGTATATTCTATAAAGTTTGAAGTTGTATCATCTTTTTCACACTCCATTGTTATTCACTTCTCCATAGATTCGCCTTTCATACTTTGCTTTCGAAACATCCTATCATGTTTTCATTACTGTTTGTTAGAGGTTATGTCTCTGAACCATAGGTTAGGACTGGGCGTATTATTGTTTTGTAGAGTTTGTTTTATATTTCTCGATATAATTGTGGATTTAGGGAGGAGATTAAACCCAAAATAGCATTTTTTTGGCAGCGCAAATTCTGCGGTTTATCTTTGCAGTAGTGTTATTTTCAGCGTTAAGGAGCGCTCTCGTGTATACAAATTCGTTCACTGCTTCGATGACGGTGGTTGCATGCTTATTTTCATATACTTCGTTATGTTGGTGTTTATTATTAAACTCATTTTTGTAGCTAATTCTTTAAATGCTATATATGCTTCTCGTACAGCGTTTTCTGTTCGGCCAACAATAATAATAGCATCAGCATATGGTTGTGATTTGTGACATACGTATTATAGTCCGTGCAAGCACTCTTGACCACGGCGCAGTAGACGAAATTTGGTTTAGTTTCCACTTCCATGCGAAACGCACTGTACTATGCAACGTGAAAATATTGACTTGAAAATTTTTAGTTGTGTTTCTGACTTTGAGGTGTTAACTTCAATAAGTTTGTGTTTTCTCCCATTTACCTGTTGCGTATTCAAATTTATTAAAAGCGGTCAAAAGGTAGGTACTTTATCATCAATTAAAATACATAGGGGCGCATTAAGGAAATTTTAATAAAATTTTTTCATTTCTTTTTTGTTTTGAGACTGGTGCAAAACAAAAATTCCTTGCAGTCGGTTTCAATTAATCAGTTAATATTTGATATTGGAAAATCTTTTTTTTAAACTACTTCATATGTTACGATTTATGTTGATTTGAGTTTATATTTTTTTTGAAATCTTTGTTTTTTTTTTAAATACTTTATATTTTCATTTTCTTTACAGTGCCATCACAATCAATAACAGCGTGCTATTCACAGTCAGGGCTGACATATTGTTTACAATGTGTATAGTTTTTAAAAAAGGAGCAAGAAAAAAACAACACAAAATCTTCGGTTTTAAATATGGTTGTGGAAGACACTGAAATTTCTAAAAGTAGCGTCCAAAGAATCATTAAAGAAGGAGAGAGAGTTTCCGATTTTTCATCTCCTTCAGGCAGCTCGGGAAATGTCTTTAAATCTCCAGAAAAAAATTAATCAGCCAAAACCGAAAACCAACGTCGATGGTTATGAGTGAGAAATTATAAGAAACACAGTGGATACTTTTGCAATGATTCATTACAGCAGGCCTACAATGTCAGCTGTTTACAACGCTGTTAAGAATGAGATTAATTTCCAAGGTAAACTATCGTCGTTCAGAAAAGTGTTGAAGAAACTAGGTTTTAAATGGCAAAAAACAAATGACAACCGAAAAATACTCATGTAAAAAACGGATATTCGAGCCAAATGAACCGAATATCTAATAAAAATATAGAGCTGAGGGTTATGATGTTATTTACACTGATGAAACGTATCTCCACAGCAGTAACCTTTTAAGGAATTCAGGTATATAACTAAATCCAACTAATTACTAAAAGGAAATCCACGTATAGGTAGGTCTTCTTCTTCTGGTTCCTATCCGTTTCGGATGTTGGAAATCATATTGGCAATCATAACCTTGCTCGCTGCGGCTCGAAACAGCTCCGTTGAGGTTTTCTTAAACAATGTTCTTAAATTCCGCAGCCATGATATTCTCCTTCTACCGGGTCCTCGCTTACCTTTGACTTTATATTGCAATATAGACTGTAGCAGGGAGTAACGGTGCTCATTTCTCATAACGTGTCCCAGATATTGCAATTTTATGCGTTTGATTGTAAACAAAATCTCTGGTTCCCTCTTCATTTTTCCTAGAACTTCCTTGTTCGTGATCCTTGCTGTCCACGATATTCTCAGCATTCTTATATAAAGCCTCATCTCAACTGCTTCACGTTTTTTAATAGTGGTGTCTGTAACCGTCCATGCCTCCGCCCCGTACAACAACACAGACAAAACATAGCATCTCAAATGTCTCATTTTTGTATCAAGGGATATGTTGTGACTTTTGAAGATGGCGCTCATTTTGTTAAAGACCATTCTTGCCTTTCCCATGCGGCACTTTATTTCCTGTAAATTGCTCCACTGTTCGTTAATAATAGTTTCCAGGTAACAATACTGTTTTAGTCGCTCTATCTGCGTCCCATTAATGTATAGATGAGCCCCGTTTATATTCTCCTTGCTGATAATCATTTGTTTTGTTTTGTGGGTATTAATGTTTAGTCCGTACTGTTCACTGTACTCGTTTATTCTGTCCATTTGCCTCTGAAGTCCCTCTAAACTATCTGCTATCACCATGGTGTCGTCGGCATATCTAACATTGTTTACTCTTTCACCATTTAGAAGGATGCCTTCGTCTATTCCGTAAAGAGCCTCGTTAAAAATTTTCTCTGAGTACATATTAAATATCAACGGCGATAGGATACATCCCTGTCTAACTCCACGTAGTATTTTTATGTGATCTGTTTCTTCTCCGTTAATTTCATGTATGCGGTCTGATTCCAGGAGAGTTCTGAAATTATTCTGAGGTCTTTGTCATCCAGGTCTGCCTCTTTTAAAATGTTTATCATCTTTTGATGTTGAACTCTGTCAAATGCCTTTTCATAGTCGATCAGGCACGCGTATACGTCGCAGTTAACGTCCCTGCATCTTTGAATCAGTACCTGTACTTCGAAAAGTGCCTCTCTGGTGCCCACTGCGTTAATGAAGCCGAACTGTCTGTTCGATATTTGTTCCTCGCACTTCTTATAAATTCTTCCATGGATGACTCTAAGAAACAATTTCAACATGTGGCTCATTAGGCTGATTGTTCGATATTCTTCGCACTTTTTAGCCCTCTGTTTTTTAGGTATTGCTATGAATTCTGATTCTAGATAGGTTGGTAGAACCTAATTATTGTTGTATTGTTTCTAATTGTTCTTATCTAACCTCATTAAAATTCCTAGTAATCTCAGATTTCTGGTAGATATGACGTATGGAGAATTCCAAACAAATTATAAATCAATCATTAGCATTTAACAAATCAGTAAATAAATTATCAATAAATCAAATTATTCGCTGTACCCCTTTTTTGAATATCGTTTAATTTACCGTCCTAAATACACTTGTAAATAAATAAAAAATTAGGTAATTTGTAAATAATTTGTAAGTAGGTACAACTGTTTAGAAATTTTAAAAATTTAAAAAATTTAAAAAAATTATTAAATTAAATGTGTATTAGTTATTCATCTCATAAAATATTAGTTATATGTCTCAACTAAAAATAAGAAATTGAAAATATAAACTTATAAACAATAATTTTGCAATAAATAATAGGGCTTTTTCCACGTTTAATACCGAAAGTTGAATACCAAATATTCAAAATACCAAATATTGAAAAATTAAAATATCAAATTAAAGCCAGTTTAAAAAAAAATTGAACAAAAATCATTGAAAATATAAACGAAATGCACATAAAAACCATTTGGTTATGCACCGCGCATTTTTTATTTATACTCAGTCCAACACTGTAATTATTTCGACAATTTCGAGGTTGCAGTTTTACTTACTTACTTACTCCGTGGCGTTACAACCCTTCGTGGGTTTTAGCCGACTCGACAACATGCCTCCACTGTTTTCTGTCTTGAGCAACCTCCATCCAATTCTCCACGCCCATAGTGCTTAGGTCTCCTGCTATATTATCTCGCCACCGGAGACGAGGGCGTCCGCGTGGTCTCCTTCCAGTTGGGACTTCCTGCCACACCAGTCTTACTGGTTGTTCGTCAGAATGTCTTCTGAGGTGTCCTGCCCATTGGAGTCTTCTGGACTTTATTTCTTTTATGATGTTGGCGTCTGGGTAAAGTTCTTCAAGCTCTTTATTAGTTCTTATCCTATATTGTCCTGATGCTTCATCAAGCACCGGACCAAGGATCTTCCTTAGGATTTTTCTTTCCCAAACACGTAGTCTCTCTTCATTTGCCTTTGTCATCGTCCACGTTTCGCTTCCATACATCACAACGGGTCGTATGATTGTTTTATAGACCTGTATCTTCGTACGTCGTGTTAGTTGTTTTGATTTTATAAGGTTTTGGAGGGCAAAAATACATCTGTTGCCGGCCTGAATCCTGTTGTTTATTTCTTGTGATCCGTTATTGTCTTCAGTTATTGTTGTTCCAAGATACTTGAATTCCCTAACGCGCTCAAAGTTAAAGACATCGATGGTAATGTTCTGACCGATTCTGTCTCTGCTTTGGTTATTGCGGCTCATATACATATATTTCGTCTTGTTTTCGTTGATTTGGAGCCCCATCTTCTCTGCTTCCTTCTCAAACCTTACGAAAGTCTCCTTCATCCTTAATCGCGTGTTTCCTATTAGATCTATATCGTCTGCAAATGCCAGTAGTAAGTTTGGTCCTTCTCGATGAAATACTGTATTCGGTTTTTCGATTCTTGCACTTCTGATTATGTGCTCCAGAGCTAAGTTGAAGAGTTGTGGTGAAAGTGCATCTCCCTGTTTTAGTCCATTGTTTATTTCAAATGTCTCCGAGTATTGTTGTCCAACTCTCACCTTACATCGTAACCGTTCCATACACATCCGTATCAACCGGACTAGTTTTTTTGGAAAGCCAAGTTCCTGCATCGCTGTCCACAGTCTGTCCCTACATACTCTATCAAATGCTTGTTTAAAATCTATGAACATCTGATGAAGCTCACGATCAAACTCCCAGCATTTTTCCATTATCTGTTTTATTGTGAATATCTGGTCAATTGTAGAGCGGCCCGGTCTAAATCCGCATTGATAATCTCCAACAATTTCTTCTGTGTATGTTTTGGTTCTTTCTAGCAGGATGTTTGCAAGGATTTTGTAGTGGTGTTTAGGAGTGTTATTCCCCTGTAGTTAATACATTGCTTTTTGTTTCCTTTTTTGTGTATTGGTACAATAACCCCTTCTTTCCATTCATCTGGCATTGTTTCTTCTTGCCAAATGTCTTGAATTAGCTTGTATATCGAACTGTACAATGCTTCTCCTCCATGTTTTTAAGCACTCTGCGGGTATACCATCGCTACCTGGTGTCTTATTATTTTTGAGTTTTTTAATTGCCTGTATTACTTCTTCGTATGTCGGGTATTGGTCTTCTATTTCAGCTGTATGTACCTCTATGTTTGATGTACTTCTGCTAGATTGGTCATTCAATAGTTGATAGAAGTATTCCTTCCAGGTTTTTAAGATTTCCTTGTCATCAGTGATAAGCTGTCCACTGTCGTTTTGAAGAAAGTTTCCTGTTCTTGCTTGGTACCCGGTCTTAATATCTGAAACTCCTTTAAAGAACTGCCTCGCTTGTTTGTTCTTTCTTTTTTCTTCTATTTCTCTGATTATTTGTTCCTGATACTCTCTCTTCTTCCTTTTCATTAGTTTTCTTGTCTCTGTTCTTCTTTGTCTATACATTTCATTGTTGTTGTGCGAGGGGCTTTGTACCATGTTCCTTCTAGCCATATTTCTTGCTAATATGGAGTTCAGGCAATCATCATCGAACCATTTTTTTGTTGTTTTCTTTTTGTGTCCTAGTATTTCATCTGATACGCTTGTCAGAGCTACTTTGATATTTTTCCAAGCTGAGTCTACGTTGTTATAGTTTTCTGTCTGTGCTAGAGCGATTTTTATAGCCTTTTGAAATTTCTGTTCTGTCTCCTTATTACGTAGAACTTCGGTATTCCATAATTGTGTTGGTGTATTCTTGTGTGTTTTTTTGGACGCTATTCTTGTCCTTATCTTCGCTTTTACAAGAAAATGATCCGTGTCTCCATCAGCTCCTCTTAGGCTTCTTACGTTTAGACAGTTACTACCCCTCCTGGCATCTACTAGAACATGATCAATCTGATTTCTTGTGACGCCGTCGTTGGAAACCCATGTTTGTTTGTGTATATTCTTGTGTTCAAACATTGTCGATTTTATTAGTAGATTGTGGGATGCTGCAAAGTCTATTAGCCTTGTTCCATTATCGTTGCTAACATCGTGAAGACTATGGTTACCTATTGTTGGTTTGTACGCTGCTTCCTTCCCAATCTTTGCATTGAAATCTCCTAAGATAATATGCATGTCCTGTTTAGGTAAATTATTTATCAGTTCCTCTAGTTTCTCGTAGAAGTTATCTTTTACATGCTCTTCCTTTTCCTCTGTCGGTGCATGGGCAGCAACTAGGGAATAGTTATGTAGTTGTCCTTTGATTCTGATATAACAAAGTCTTTCATTAACGGGTTTGAAAGTTAAAACTGACCCCACAAGACTTTCCTTGACTATAAAACCAGTTCCGAATTGATGTTCTCGTTCGCTTCCGCTGAAAAATACTACTGATTTATTAGTTTTTAGTGTACCTTCTCCAGTCCATTTAATCTCTTGTAGAGCAGTTATGTCCATGTTTCTGGATTCAAGTTCTTTGACCACCTGAGTTAGGGCTCCAGGCCGATATAGGCTTAGTACGTTCCAGGTTCCTATATTCATTGTCCTTTGTCGTCGCTTTTGTCGTCTTAAAAGATCCGTCCTTATCCGAGGCATGTGCTTCGTTTTCATAACTATGTTTTTTTTACAAGAAGGAATAGTTAGTCCCTTGCTTAACCCTCCTCCTTTCTCATCCTGGACTTGGGACCAGGCACCGGCGGAGGGACCAGGCAACGGTTCCATTTTTGGTTAGTATAATTCCACTTACAATAGAATCTTTCTGCCTTTACGTGAATTTTGACTTCGCCTTCGCGCAGCTACATGGTGTGACATGGTCAAGAGTGCTTGCAAGTGCTATACTTTTTCTAGACTCAGATTGAACATTATACAGAGAAGAGGATCCCCCTGGCGCAGCCCGTTATTTATTTTAAAAGGTTCAGACAGTTCTACCTGAATTCATACTCTACATTTAACCCTTTTAAAAGTTAGTTTTGTTAAATTTACCAACTGATTTGGAATTCATAACTCTTTCATTGCTTGGAACATTTCTCTTCTAGTCACAGAGCCGTTAGGCTGCTTTTTACTCTATAAATGTGATGTGATGTGATGAGTATCAATGCTCTATTTCAGGGTTTTTTCTAAAATTTGTTTCAGGGTTGCAATCTGATGAATTGTCGACATACCACTGAAACCTCTGAAAACAGCCTAGTATTTTCCTACTATCTGCTCTGCATATGCTGCCATACGGTGACATAGTACTGTGACAATATTCTAATCATTGGTGAGGGATTTCTGTGCCCATATTTCTTTTATAAGCTTCTTTCATGCTATTATGAAATCGTTTCCACCTTCTTTATATAGTTCAGTTGGGAGATTATCCGGGTGATTTGTTTTTGGCTAGTTTTTTAACTGCATCTTTAACTTAAAGAATCGGTATTTTCTCTTGCCTCTCGTCTGTTCCTCTTACCTCATTTCTTTCGTCTTCCAGGTTTTCTTCTTTTTCCCTGATATTAAGTGCCTGGTTAAAGTATTTCATCCATGTATTTAATACATCTTTCTTTGTTGTTAATAGGTCGCCATTGTGACTTCTGCATTGCATTGAGTTCTTTTCTGTTGATGTTAACTTTATTATAGAATGCTTTGATTTCTTTCTTTCTGTTGAGGTTTTCTATATATTTATGTTCCCTAATTGGGTGGTTTTGTTTTTGTTTCTTTTGTGTATCCTCTTTTCTTCTCTTCTCTGTATCTGGTAATACTCTAACAAGGCATTTTACAAGATTAAACAAGGAAGCAACAAACCACCTCAAGCAATGTAGAAATACTCACAAGAACGGAAATTAACATGACACCAATACCATATGTAAATTGCTTATAAAAAATTGTAATGGATAGTAAATAAGTACATCACAACATTAAAACAACCAACACACTTAGATATATCTCTGTCCAAAACGAAACCTAACAACACACAAGAAAAATTATAGAACTGCCTATATAATATAATACAATATAATTTATAAAATACCCTGGAAATTTGTTAACCATACATCACACATCAAGAACAGAGTATTCGACAAATCTCAGATATGCATGAATTCCTGGAATATCAATTCCAGGGTGAAACTAAAAGGTGAGTCGGTAATCATGAAAGAAACAAACTTGAAAAAAGTAAAAACAAATAGCAGCATCAGCAATTGCATCAGGAGAATTTAGTAGGCTTTGGTTGCCAATACTAGACGTGAAAGTCTATATTTTAATTTCAAAATACAACAAGAACATACCAACAATAGCGAATTAACGTAAGTCGCGGACATCACTACAATTATACAGGATACATGCAACACACAATACAAAAACATATACTCTACGATAAAGGTCAGAAATTGAAATTCTGAGCATAAAAACATGAATCTCACATTTTTGTCAACGAAAAGAAGGCTAGAACACAGAATAAGAAACTATCAGAATGCCCACTCTGCTTGAAAAAATGAGCACGCGCATCTCGTTCGCGCAGACGTTCAGCCATGTTTTAGACGGAACCAGTGCTGTTCAGCGAAAATTTATCTGGCGTGCTTTGAAAAGTTCACTGTAGCGTGTGTTAGCACAGAATAAAATTCTCAGCTTAGAGGGTTTTGTTACGTCTCATTTTCAAGCCTTTTCAATATTTCTGTGGTATTAGTGTGTTCACTATTTGTCATTTGAATTATATATAATTAATATAAATGTAAATTAATTATTGATAATATATATATATATATATATATATATATATATATATATATATATATATATATATATATATATAATTATATATATTGAAAGGAGTACGACCGTCTAAATTTAAATACACAATGTGAGTGGGATTAAAATCTCACTGTAAATAAGGATATCGGTCAAGGAGAAATAAAAAATGAAAAAACTATTTTAATCTTTTAATAGAAAACGTTTCGTGCAGTATTTCTGCACTTCTTTAGTTCTAATGATTGTAAAGTTAATATAGATGTCAAAAAATGTCAAATGCATATGTTGAGATGTTATAAAATACATTAAATAAATACAAAATAAGTTACAGTAAAAAATTACATTAAAAATTTTATTTTAAATTTATACAAACATTAAAAAGTTGCCAAAATGTCACAATATGTTAACAAGAACAGTATAATATAATCCAACACTTCTATTCTATCGCTGATGTACAATACATATATCGAAACATGAAACCAGGAGAAAAAGTAACTTGTTTTAATTAGAGCTTAGTGAACAATTTGAAAAAAATATTTTTATTGAAAAAAGTATGGAAAGTTAACTTTATTGTTAGATGCACAAATGTAATTAAAAAGGCAACTATTTTTGATAGATAGGGATCTATCTATCAAAAAGCAAAATCTATTCCGAAAAGCAAAACAAAAAATAATATGGCTTTAGAAATCATTCTTTGTATGAAAAATTAACTTGATGACAAAAATACTTATTTACAGGACAGAATAGAAAAGTCAATTTGTTTAAAATCTAATTATAAGAAGATACATGGACGTATAAATAAAGAAGAAGATACCTTCTGTACGGACTTGAAAATGTAATGTAATATAATAATAAATAGTATGTCAATCAATTTATAGATATTTTGTGCAATAAAAAAAAGCCTTCCTAACAAAAAAATTAATATAATGCCTTTATCATATATATATAAATATATATATATATATATATATATATATATATATATATATATATATATATATATATATATATATATATATATATAATATTGTGAAACTTTGTCAAAAAATAACAAGAGACAAATTGTGCAAAAATATTGGAGTGAAAGAGTATGCATTATATAAGTCACCTTCATGCGGATGTAGTGTAATTATTTACAGCAGTTTTTGCAGATAATAGCCGAAATTCGTATATAGCATGGCACGGGAAAACGAAGTAATTAAAAAAGAAAGAGCACTTTTATCTGTTTTATTTATTTTATTTACTAATTAATTATTTATTTAAATAGCTAATTCGTTAATAAAAAATATATTCCTCTTGTACTAGGTGGAACATGATATCCCATTGGTGCAGAATTACATTCCGCGTTAGGCCCATTTGATTGTATTGCTTTATATAAAGATTTATTTGAAATACTTTCGGCAAAAAATTCATAAGATTTACCATGACTACAAGAATCCATCATCTAAAAAATTTCGTTTTCATTAAATCTAAACCACATAAAATATGTAAACAGTAACGAGCAATTTAATAAGATTTTGTGCAAATATATATACATATATATATATTATATATATATATATATATATATATATGTCTTCATATCAAGGCGAGATCCGTTTGTATCATAAGCTATACAAAATGAGATCCGTTTTGCAAGGCGAGATCCGATTTTGGATCTCACCTTGTATTCACGTGTATATAGTGACATCTCGATGTAACAATGATGGGGTACAAAGAAATCGATTTTGTCTGGACCTCATTTTGCACCCTTTTGGTGAATTTTATATTGCAGTAGTTCCACTAAATCCGCTGTAGAGGCAGTGCGAGCGATCCGTGTGTATATGCTAAATATACATTTTGTAGACAACCCGAGATCCGGTAAATTTGGCAACATCGCAAATGAATTTTACAGTCAGACCTCTCACTCCCTTCGGCTTATTTCCGGTTTGAATAATATTATTTACATTATTAAAGAGCTCTGTCCAGAAAGGCGATTGTCAAATATCTCGAGAACTAGACGTCGTATCGAAAAAACTTAGGAATTCTTTTTTAATGGTTTTTCAAAATCTATATACTTATGCAATAGCAGGGTTCTTATTCTCCCTGCGAACGCGTGGGTGTAGCAACTTTGAATTTTCAACTGGAACCCTTCATTTTTATTTAAATAAACATTTTGAAATTAGATTAGAACTATTATGGATATAGATATAAAATTAGAATAATTAATTAAATTAGAAATTTAGAGTTGAAAATACAAAGCTTTTGTGTGAATCTATAATAGCTTCTTTGACCAGTGGAAAGAGCTTCAAAATCGTCGTTTTGATGACATTTTTAGGAGTTAGATGATTTTAAGTAATTTTTTAGATAACATTATGTAGAACACGTTGGTAAGTACTCAAAGTCTAAAAAATTTCGGAGACGTTGTTTATTTGTAGTATTATTTTTTTACAATTTTTCTTCGCATATCTTCTCCACTGTTTGTTTTACAAAAAATGTCAAAAACTTATTTTAATCGCTTTTAAAAGACCTACAAAATAAATCTAACCGCGTTCAATTTGAATGAGAGTTAGAAACACAAATCTGTTTTGCATATCATTTATAATTAAGGGACCAACTATGCTGTTCACGTACTATGTTAAGATTCCACGGGAATATTTTTCAATATATGTAGTTCATTTATGCTAAACATGGACACTGTACGTCAAATAGTTTACGAGCTATAGCTTTATAAACAAATTAACTTTATATTTCCTTTAAATTCGTTTACTGAAGAAAATCCAAATTTAGCTATACAGCTCGCACTCCCTCGTAGGGGAAAATTCACTCATCCCAGATACCCACGTTATCAAAAGGATTGACCTGTGGGACTCTTTCTGTGTTCGATTCCTAGGTGACTTGGTACATCAGGGTTTGTCCCAAAAATTTTCATACATTATTATCTAGTATTATATAAAGCTTATTAAGGACGTTGTAACGGCGTTAAAATTCAAAAGCTTGTGATATATTAAACATCTAAAATTGCAACGGTTTTTCCCTGGCAGCAAATTTCACGTTCAAGAACAAAGGATAGTAATAAAAACAATTAAATCTATGTACCTATTTCTTAATTATTATCTTGTGTTAGTTATCTTTCTCTATGTTAGACTCTTCATTACTATAAAAAGAAGTAACACTCTCTATGGTTAAAATTGTTCACGTTTATCACCTTTTTTGTAAAATTTCACTTGGGCAATAATATATTTACAAGAACCAATGAATTTGATCTCGTTTCCGATTACATGAGCATTGGAGCCCCTGTACAGTCCGACAATTAGAAAAAAAACCAATATAATAATTATTCGTCACAAAAAGGTAAAGATAAACTCATCTTTTACACCTATTAGGAGTATAGTATATGTATGTATGTTTCTTCAACTTGGATTCCGTGCTTAAAACTGGTACCAGCTCTACATTTTCTTTACTCCATCCAGTTAGCAACAGATTCGGGAGTCAAAGTCTTGGTGTCACACTACATACTCATACCTTCGTTTGGATGAGTATGTACACGAATATTATATATTATACTGTCTGAAGTAGGAGAAAGTTTATATGGACCATTACAAAGATTGTTAGTACTGGTCAAATACAAAACCAATCCTTTTAGGGTTGTAGAGGTTCTTGAACACTATTGATTTTAAAATTTTTGCATAGTCGCCAAATGATTTGCAGTTGGAGGGTTTGCCAACGGCTTGGATTAAACTTATACCTTTAAGAATGCGACACTTTGTTACTTTATAATGGTAATGGTAGATATTTAGACATAACTGTAAACTGTCCTATTATAGAACCTAAGGCAGATTTATTTGATGGTATCGATAAAACTCCTACAGGTACAAGTGACATTGGATATGCTGTAAATTCATATTTGAAAATATTCTCATAATATTTATGTTACTTTCAATTGCCTTGGTTGTTAGTATTTTTTATAAAAGCTCCTGCTCAGCATTAATCATTTTTTTCTTTTCAGAGACAGTTTTATAGTGTTGGAAATGTTGAAAGTACTTCTTGTATGCTGAAAAAATTGGGAGTTCTAACAGTAGGAAGCAATTTTGCTAGGCTCTTCTCCATTTTTTTTGTATATTTAGTAAGGGTATTTGAACATTTGGGGATGCAATCTTATTAGCTGAAATTACGAGAAGACGATCTACGCTTTTGAAAAATACATTAAATCGTAAAAAACTGATCATGTGGTTTTTGTACAGAATATTCGTCAATTTTCATCTGTTTTTTTTTCTATTGTCTACGTTTTGACTTGAGTGGTTGCTTAGGTCTCATGATGCACGAAATTCATCTACCATCATTCCAATCATATTGTAGCTTAACAACCATTCCTCTAGTTTGGTGCTGGTTTTAATCAATCTTACGATTCCTCCTGCATCTTTTGAGTTTGTATTTATATGTTTCAAGCTGGATCTACAAATAGTTGGTTAAAGTTTCTGTTCAAACTTTTCACAACAAAATTTTTTCTCATAAAGTCTTCATGCAATTCTGGAGCCTTATCAGCAAGTTTGTACATGTCCAACAAATGTAATGTTCCCCAAAAAGAATAGTTCACATGGTCAAATGCAATGAGGTAGGGGTACATTTTTCTAAAACTAGAACAAAAATGTATTCTCCAGTTTCCGCTTCTTTCAGCAAACGAAAATGGAAATGGACTTTACGGAAAGAAACATGCCGTAATCTGATTTTTGACTCAAGTTCACTGCCATACCTGCTGCTGTTCATTAAAATAATTTAAAACTTCTAATATTAAAAATCTCAGCACAGTGGATTTCGTGCTATTAGTAAAAAATAATGCACAATGATGCACTTTCGCAATCGAATATACAATACAACAGAATTTCAATGTAAAATCGACCCTAACAACATCGCCATTACTAAAGTCGATTTAAGGTTGACTTCAGATTATGAATCTCGCCCTTCCTCGCATCTCTGCGTTTGCCACTGTGCGTCGTGACATGCCTTTCGATTTATTTAATTTTTTCTTAAACTATTTATCCAATCGACATTCTAAACAAACCGACATGTTCTCTGATGTTTGGTCTATAACTTTTATAGAAAGCCATTTTTTGCTAGACCCAATATTTTTTCGGGGTAGAGCGAGGAGAAACGATTTTAAAAATATGGGTTTTCAGACTCATTCTAAGTCATTTTGTATGAAGGCACTCCGTATACAACAATGGTTTGACGTATTTTTATAAATAAAATAAAAATATTTCTAATGTCCGGATCGATATGCAAATTTGAAGAATGAATTTTCGGATATCGTAGATTAGAAAAAGGACGAACAACAAATTAGCACTTTTTTGTAAGGCTCCCCACCACTCCCCTCACGCTACGATTTTTGGACGACCAAGTGATTTTGCATTAGAAAGATATTATGCCGGGTCCAGACCAAACAGACAAAACAAAAACATTCATGTTTCGCGACAAAGTGGCGACAAATCGAAAACATTTGTTGAGACATTTCTGAACAATTTTGTTTTGTTTGCAAATTTAAAAACTTTTTCAGGTCCCGTCTCAGGTCGGTAAAGATAAAAAAGTCTGTGTTTTGTCTGTGTATTTGACGACAAGTTGTCGGCGCAGTGTGGACGCGTGTGCGTGCCAAAACGAGTTAAGCAGTAGGAGAAATAGAATGTACATTTTTTATCAAAATTAAGTGTATTTTTCTGTTACTTAGTCTTAACACAAATGTTCACTCAACTCCCTCCATCCAACTCCAACCCACAACATTTGTACTCAAATCCACCCAGCACTGACACACAACATTCATACTCAAATCCTCCCAGCATTGACACACGTTCATACTCAACTCCTCCCAGCATTGACACACATTTATACTTAAATCCACCCAGCATTAAACATTTATACTCAAATCCACCCAACACGCAACATTTATACTCAAATCCACCCAGTGCTGACCCACAAAATTATTACTTACATCCACCAAACACCAACACCCAACCTTTATTTTTACATCCACCTAGTATTGACACAGAGCTTTCTCAGTATTCAGATCAAGAAAACGAACGAAAATGATGATGAACTTTTTGAATGTAAAGCAAGTAGACTCGTCATTATTTTGTATGTAGTATGTACATATCGTGAACTTCTTTTGTATTAAACATTTAACCAATAAATATGGAGTTTATTTTAAGGGATATTAACAGAAAAATAGTAATGAAAAGAGTTTAACATACCTGTACATAACCACTAAGACTGTTAATTAAAGCTTTACATATTTTAGGTATTATTACAGATATTGATTGTTTTGATACTTTTGAAAGATACATTAGGCTGTGGTAGGAATCACCTGTTGCTAAAAATCTTAAAGTGATTGCTAACCTTTCAGTTACACTCATAGCATTTCTAAAGTTAGTATGTCTTTTTGCAACTGCAGGACCAACAAGGCATATTAGATTC